TACACACGCGTCACCTAACCCCTCCTGAGAATCACTGGTTATTACACGCGCGCATCACCTAACCCCTCCTGTGAATCACTGGTTATTCCATATGCCTGTCACCTAACTCCTCCTGAGAATCACTGGCCAAGTCACTATGTATCCACATTTGGAATATATGTGAAAAGAACTGATTTGCTTGAATACATTGGCCAGGCACAACTCTGCTGGTCAAGTTAAAAGAAGCAATTAGCAAAGGCTAAGTGGAGTCATGATTTTAAATTTAAGTCAGCTTAGTGAACTAAGAAAATGATTTAAGTACTAGAAAACAGTAAAAATTGACCTTGCCTGGAGTATTTTTTTAAAATGTGGCACATTCCTATAGTCTCAGCTGAGGGAGGCTGAGGCAGGAGGATCACTGGAGCCCAGAAGGTTGAGGCGGCTGGGAGTTGTGATTATACCACTGCCCTCTAGCCTCAGATGGCTAACACTTGCCAGCATCCACCACAGATGTGTAAAGGTTTGGGTCATACTCTGAATTGCCCAAGATGTCTACACTAAGGCCTAACCTCGCTGGTCACTTTGCCTGGCCCTAAACACGTATCATCTCATTTATTATTCACACATGATCTCACTTAGTTCTCTCAACAACGAGATGAGGAAGTTCAAAAGCTCAAAGAAGTTAGGTATCTTGCATATTTCATAGCTGGTAACGATAGCGCTGGGACGACCAGGTCTATCTGAAGCCCAAACACCACACCAAGGTGCTTGCTGAGCGCTGGGACAACCAGGTCTATCTAAAGCCCAAACACCACACCAAGGTGCTTGGTAGACAACTTCCCCCTAGACCCCCCCACCCCAACACACGAAAATAATAAAATCACTTAACCAGGCCTTGGTTCAAGGGAAGCCTTGTTTCTCAAGGAGAAGCTAATGAAACATACAGTGATCAAGCAAAGGACTCTTTATATATTTTTCTGAGACAGAGTCTTACTCTGTTGCCCAGGCTGGAGTGCAGTGGTGCAATCAAAGCTCACTGCAGCTTCGACCTCTTGGGCTTCGGCGATCCTCCCAGCTCAGCCTCCCAAGTAGCTGGGACCACAGGTGTACGCTACCATGCCCAGCTAATTTAAAAACTTCTTTTTTTCTTACTTTTTGAAGAGATGGGACCTCACCATGTTGCCCTGACTTGTCTTAAACTCCTGGGTTCAAGCAATCCTCCTACCTCAGCCTCCCAAAGTGCTGAGATTACAAGTGTGAGTGACCACGCCTGGCCCAAAGAACTCTCAAAAAAGGAAAGAAACAGTGCTTTGCACTGGAAGAGAAACATCATGAAAAGCCATCAGAAGAAATGGGACTTCAACTCTTCTAGATGAACTTTTCATTTCACATTTAGGAGTTACCCCTCCATATTTACCATTGTTTCTTGTGCTTTTTGTTCTGGGGGCTTGGGTAGAGTTGAATACCAATGGTGTCAACTGGTACTATCTAAACAAGACCTGGTTTGAAGACAGTAAGAATGATTAGGGCCTCCGAGACGCAGTCTAACCACCACAGGAAAAGGCTGCGGGGCCCAGAGTATGCCAGTGCCTTGGTTCCACAGCCTGGGCAGGAAGCATGTGTCCTGACACTCCACAGCAGGGCTGGGGGGCCAGCACTCTTTCTAGACAGAGCCTACGGAAGCAGGGAATGTGGATCAGAGAACAGCGCTCCACAACTAGCGCCAATAGATCCTGTTTCTTCCTGTTGCTATAGGAAGCTTGGAAAAAGGATTCTGCAAAAACTGAATACTGAAATTCCTGCTTCTTCACTGGATTA